TTTTGAAATTTTTTTCTTTTTTAGTTTGTATACTGCAATAAATGAAATCGATAGTTCCGGGACACTCTATAGATGCCTATGTAAAAGTAATAATGTCACGCGCAGACCTGCCACGACACAAATAGAGGTTCTTCCTGGTGGACCTATTTTTGGGATCGTCGGCGTTGAATTACGAAAGTCGTAATTCAACGGGCTGCATCAACGGGTTGCAACTGAATGAGAGGGAAGAAAAAGATAGCGACGGAATGGGAAGAGTCTCTACGAAAAAAGAGACACAGAGAGAGGGAAGAAAAAAACATTTAAATTCCCAATGGACGTGCTGAATGGATTCCGTGCCGGAACCACTTCGGATGAAGACAGAAACAAAACAATGTTTTTATAACCCAGTGCCAAGAATACGAGCTGTAAGCTGATTCGGTCGGTGACGATATCATTCAAGATTGTTACGATGCCTATTAAACTTGTACGAGGGATCGATCATTTATTTCTGTAAGGCTGCGATTGTACCAACGTTACTTTAACTTTAAACGAAACTTAAAAGTCGCTCGCTCTCTCTCTCTCTCTCTCTCTCTCTCTCTCTCTCTCTCGATTTTAAAAAGAGAGAGAGAGTTTTAAGCTTCGTCAAAGTAACGTTGATGCAATCGGGCCTAAAAGAAATTACATGTCAAAAACATCAAGAAATTTGAATCAATCTTCTCTGTTATTTCTATCTCCAGAATTTAAGAGGCGAAGACAAATTATATTTTGAAAATCCTCGGTGTCAAATCATTTTTAGAATTATTAATAAAATATATAATTAGCTCGCTTTTATTAAATAATAAAATTAGAGCTGTCACATCGCTCCTGTTTCTTCAATATTCAGTATTTAAATTATATTTAAAAAATTAGAAATTTAATCTTCTCACAGCAAATATCTGCATTAAAATTTCGTGAAATAATCTGTGAATAAGTGAATATAAATAAAAAAAGTTGATTATAATAATACTTTAACATTTTTAATTAACTAAAATTTGTTGTTAATTTTTTAAATTAATTAACTAAATTATAAATTTAAGAATTAATAAAAACTTGATCGTGCGTTATATCAAATTCACGGAAAATTCCAGCTTTTAGTAAATATCTCATTGAATACAAAATAATAATAAATGAATCATTATTTTTAAAAACGACTCTTTAAGGATAACAAAGAGGCATTATGTCATTATCTCGACTTTTAAAAATTTGCGGCTTCTCTGAGTGACCGGTTCAAAAACATCATACTATAAAGCAAGGTGCATTTTGTGTGTCGCCTACGCGAGTTCGCGAATAAGCAGGATAACGCACAGCAGTTCACGAAGTGCCATTCGCAGAACAACTTGTAAACGAGTCGCGGAGAATCGATTCGACACGTCCTCGCGTAGAGAATTGTTGGCACGCCGAGAAAGAGGAAGAGGAGAAAAATCCCGATGTTCCTGTCCTTCCTACCACCTAAGGACGTCTTTCTCGTTCTCGAGAGCCACTGTGGATAATTGGGTCCGCACCCACGAGGAGCTCTCTCTGTTCTTCCTGCGATCTCTCTTTCTTCTCCTTTCACGCTCCCACGAAATTTTTCGATCTTACACGCATGGCGGTGCACAAGAATGTGCGACACGCGCGGTCGTCGTACATGGTTAGATAATATATACGCTAGAATACAAAACGTGATCGTACAAGATAAATACAATTAGGATACTGTTTCATGGATTACATTTACACGACACCCTTAATCGAGTTTAATAACATCCATACCCAAGTAGAACAACAAATCATTATGATATCAAAATGACGTGAAAATAACTTCAAAATGATTATTAAAAGTCATTCTTTAATCATTTCCGATTCATTTTAATGTCATTGACATTATTGTGACTTGTTCTGCTTGGGTAGTTATAAAATTGGCCAGTCATAGTCATTCTGTTCTTCAAAGGAATAGGTACGATTGCAGTTAAAATTATTATAAGGCTCCCGTGTAAACGTAGTCATTGTTTTAATCCTTTAAATTATCATAATACGGAAAGAACAATTTTGCTGAAGTCTAAAAAAACTTCACACAAATTGTACAGAAAAAGTGGCTTTGATCAAATTGACTGAAACTGTAGTGATATTTTGTAGATTATAAGATGCTGATCAAAAATTTCTTTAGGCAATATTTTTTTACACAGAATAAATGAGATTATATAAATCAATTACATTTGTAATAATAAATTTAATCTGAACTTTACACTAAATAAGAATAAAGTTTAATATTTATTTTTCTTTTATAACGCATGTCTTACAAATCGAAATTTATTTTTCTTAGACTTAAACTTAACAGTATTCACAACGTTCATAATTTACACAACTTTATAACTCAATCACATATATATACACGCTAGATACTTTAACTCTCATACTTCTTATTTTTCTTATTTCTCCAAAATATTTATATTTTTTAATACGATTCTAATTTTTCTTATTAATATGCTTTTTATTTATGTTATTTTTCTAAATATTACATTTTCTAAGTATTATATTCTTATTTCTCATATTTTTCTAAATATTACATTCATATTTTGCTACTATGTTATTATATCGAGATCTAGCAGCGCCAAATGTTTTTACATGAAAAATGTTTCTATTTAAATTTGTGATAATGATATGTATAATATTTTGAAATAGAATTAAATAACCACTACTTTAGTTGGAAGAGAAAATGTCTTTGTGTGTGAATGAATTGTGATGTAATAATTTCATTTAAGAAGAACTTAAATCATTTGGATTGAAATAGGAAGATCCTTCTATAAGATATACGTATACTTAGGTTTCATTGCATAAAAATTAAAGAGAGTATCATTTGGATTAAGTAAATAATAATAAAAATATAGTACTACTTGGGTTTTACTTTTTATTTTGATAGTAGAATTTAACTTGGCGCCACAGTTGTTGATATCAATATCATAAGATTAATATTTATTAATTATTTAATTTGACATGGTATAAAGAAATGGGATTGAACTTTGCGCCAGTTCTTGATATCAAATCTTTTATAGGAATGATATCATTAAAGTTAATATTATTTAAAATATAATTTGGTATCCGAATTACATGGAATTTAACTTGACGCCAGTTTTGTTGATATTAAATCTTTTATATGAATGATACATATCATTGAAGAAATAAGAATATCCTTGAAGAAAAATTAAAACTACTATTAATTGGGTTGTGGATACTTAGTATTATATAGAAAGGGTCGGTTTCACCAACTCGATTAAGCCGAATCAGTGATTAACTGTCAATCATAAGTGGTCAATTCTACTAAATAGCAAACACAATTAGTTAGTTCCACGGCCAATTAAGTAATTAGCGTTGGTGAAATTGGCCCAAATTCTTCACGAAAAGCACGCATGCTTAGCGCTTTTTTTACCTTTTTTTAAAAAGATAAGTTTGTATAAATAACAAAAGACAATACCATTTGTGTTTTACTTTTTAATTTGATAGAATGTAACTTGATTATTTAAGATTGTAGCATTTGAGTTTTAATTTTTCATTTGACACATTAATTTTTTTCGAAGTGTAATAATTTTTGGCAAAAAATTAATGTTGCCATTACTTGGTAGAATTTAATTTGATTAGTTAGTGGGATTTAACTTGGCGCCAATTGTTGATATCAAATGATTGATTCATGACATCTTAAGACTGTACTTAAGACGGTCTTAAATATAAGATCTAACTATGAATACCGGCCAGGGGGTCGCATTAGCGTCTTAAGATATTACTTAAGACCCCAGACACCACAGAATATTTATGATAAATGTTTATTAATATTTATTCTTTGAAATGTTATATAGATGTTTTATACATATTTTGTATAAAGCTTTATTCGAAATATTATTGAAATATAGACTAAATATTTTATGCAATATTTATGATAAATATAAATAAATATTTCTAATAAGTATTTTTTATTTAGATTGTATAATATCTCATTAAGTATTTTTATAGCATTTACTATAACTATTCCAATATAAGTATTTCATAATATTTATAATAAATATTTATGATGTGTGCAATCTAAAACCACAAAAATATTTACAAAATATATATTTAATATAAGTCTTATAAATATTTCTAAATAAATTTATAAATATTTTTAAATAAGTCTTATAAATATTTCAAAATGTAAAATATTTTGTAAATATTTTGTGAATATTGTGTGCTGTCTGGGATGATCTTGAAATAAGAATCGACTATGAATACCGGCCTACGTCGCGATATCTCCGCTTGTAAGGTATGTAGAGAAAAAATAAAAACATTTTCATCATACTACCTTGATCAAAAAGTTCCCGGAATTACCACCAGGTGATGCTCTGAGTCAGCTGATTTGAGTTCTGTTTCTTTGGTTAGGTTGCCACATCTATCATTGACATTTCCACCAAATTTTATCGCCATAGCTTGACATTTGTAAAAGTTACGTCGTCTTGAGTACATCTACCTCTGCACGTGTTTTCGATTTTTTACAGTTTTAAAAATGGAGTTGAATTTGCAACAACGAGTTTGTATTAAATTTTGCATTAAAAATGGCATCCAACAGCCATCGAATTCACCCGATATGGTTCCCTGCGATTTTTTTCTGTTCGATCGAGTCAAAAAACCACGGGAACGCGTTTTAACAGCCGAAAGGAGGTAATGGAAAACTCGAAGACGGCTCTGATGGGTATACCGATAATAGAGTTCCAGAAATGTTTCGAGAGCTGGATCAAGCGCTGGCATAAGTGCGTTGCAGTCGATGGGGAGTACTTTGAAGGGGACAATATCACTTTTGATGAATAAACTTGTATTTTGAATTTTCTGAATGAATTCCGGGAACTTTTTGATCAAGGTGGTATATTTCGAGCGGTTAATAATTCCTATAATTTTTATTACTCACGCAAATACTTGTCCACAAAGCTCACGCATCGATAAGGTTTTTCACCTGTATGAGTCATCAAGTGACGACGTAAATGCTATTTGTATTGTAACGTGTAACCACACATTTTGCATTCAAAGGTGATTACGTTTGTATTACATCGATTTTGAACCATTACAACATCTTGCGTTCTTTAACCACAAGATTGGGGGACGAATTCGATTTGATATCGTCTTTTAGAGACATAACGTAGAGACTGGAAGTCAAATTCGGCATTTGTTCGACTTTAACCCCCTTATCCCTAAACACTAAAACAGGCGGTTGGCTAGATTTCGCTCCATCTGGAGATTGCAATAACGTTACCAGATCAGTAGATAAAACCGAGGTTCTGTTGAATCTATTCAACTGCGCATTAGTGTGATTGAATGCACGTTGGATCACGTCGCTATGGCCCAATAGCCTTTCGTCTTTAGATTCCCTAGTCCATTCGTCATCACTGCCCGTGTCACCTTTCGTTCTCTTTGCGGCACTGCTTCCTCTTTCTTCCGAATCGCTCTTCGAATCATCGATCCTCCTTCTACCTAACACTACAAATTTACATGTACAAATATTAATTCAAATGGCGTATATTTAATATGTCGTTTAATATTGTTACGCCGCCGCCTGCTACGCCTTGCCGATTCGGGTGTCGCGTTGTCAAGGGGACGCACCGTTGTTGATGGAGAACGTTCGGCAGATCTTGGAGAGACGTCGACGCTTTCGGACGTGTTCTCTTCATCGCTTTACGAGAGTTATTGTTTCAACGTATCTCGTGTTATCCACGAGCTGTATCGACCTCAGCAATAAAGACCGTTGTTCCTTTTTAACTAACCTCTGTGTCCAATCCTTTCCGCGACTCGGAAGTGCGCGTCGCGCTCGCGAGTGAGATCGTGCGAAGCAGGCGTAACAATATGTTATTCAATACATGTCCAATATTAAATATGTCGATTGCAAAATTAAATATCTGTCAAGTGCACAAGTAATTTAAATACATACATTCATACTCTTCATCTTTCATCAAGTGACGCTTGATTTGATCCATCGCTTTTGATTTATTAGACCGCATCGGGCGTCTACGTATATGCAACAAATAGCAAATTCGCATTGAACATCAGTGATTTATAGAAATATAAAAATGTTTTGTAATTGCACTTTTTAATTAAAAACTAGCCAAATTGCTCACCCTGCTTGAGCCGCAGTACTTGGTCCAGGCTGACTGGTCTCAGCTTTTATCACTGATTTTTGCAACGGCAAACTAACACGCCCGACGACTTTTGTATTAGCCTCCTGTTGCGCTGCTATAGACTCCTTTTGCTTGGCGAGACTTCGCTCAAATTTATCCAATAAACTTTTGGATGCTGCTACAGCCTCTGCAGATACCCATGTATTGTTTTCACATGAATAACCTTTCCATTTGGTCATGTATTTCAAGTATCTTCTTTTAAAATTAAAACGTTTGGCTAATATTTTATTGACATTATATTCTTCGTTACTTAGATCTGCATCTTTTTTGGTAGTTGCTTTGCCAGGCTTGATTTTGGGCTTGATCAATGGTTTCAGTCTTGGTTTTTTCTTCTTGTCTACTTCCATTTCCATAGATTCATTCTTCTGTGTTTTTGTTTCCAATGATTTCGCAGAATCCTTTTTACTTCCGCCTGTTTCTTCCGGTTGTCTATTTATGACAACTTTACGAACTATTATCGGTTTGGCATCTTCGACATTGGTATTTGATTGCATCAGGATATCCTGTATCTTTGCGTTATTAATTTTTGTAAAGGTTTGTACAATTTTTCCTGCTGTAATCCAAGCCTCCTTCACTTTTGTATCCATCTTACACCATTTCTGGTACAATATCCAAGCGTTAGATGCCTCCTTGTCTGAACTGTTTTGGACTTGTATATCCTTCCATGATAGAAATGCCCTTACTTGTGCTTTTTGTTCAATATCGTTGGTGTTACAAATACGTGAAATTTTGAAGCAGGCTCCCTTCTTTATGCGATGTTCTTGAAACTCTTCGAAAAAATGAAAGATAGAAAGACATTGTCCACATACCAGTATATCTAATTGTTCTGTTGCTTCTTGCGCTGCTTTAATAATGGTAGGTTTATTACTGATGACTGAAGGGCCATCGTCTTCCTCCATTCTGTATAGTGTATACGATTCTCCTCTCGCGATTCCTTTTATACGGTGAACGACTGGATTTTCCTTAGCCTGGAAAATGGTTTATATTCAGTATGTACCTATTATATCGTTTCAAAGTTTGTGAGGAGGAAAAGTGCGTCTCTTTAATATTAATGAAGATGATTATTAAAAAACAAATGTGGAAATGGTAACATAAAACGGTATTGAAACAAAGACATCTAAAACTCTAATAATATTAATCATGAACTACATAAATCTTACCGCACTGTTGAGATATTTTTTTGTACCTTTACCCATTATTTTCAACTGTTGATTCAAATATTGCGAAACTTGAGATTGATAGAGTTCCGATCGCGATCGAAACGTCTGTTTGTTTATTGCTACCACGTTGTATTAAATCAACTAAAGGATATAATTGTTTCTTTTATTTATGTTTAAACTTCTATATTAATGATGTTTCATTTTATAATATGAAATAATTTTTGGCTCATAACCCTTTTTCTTTATTGTTTTTTAAATTTTATGAATCTTATTACTAATGGACATATTAAGTAAAATGTTAGATTGAAAACGTGAGATGTTAAAATAATTAAACGTAATTCAAACTGACAGAGAGTAGGAATAGGAACATGTAAATAAGAAATCGTCAAAGTTGAAAGCTACATTTTGTATATATGACTAATATGTACGAAATAAGAAATATTAAGAGTAAACTGTATATATATATATAATTGTTTGTCATATAAAATCTGATAAAAAGAAATTAGAGAAAATTCAGTGAGTAATGAACAATAGGCCATCAATCTCATATTCCGCAATATTTGAATTAACAGTTGAAAATAATGCATAATGACACAAAAGAATATGAATACCAATAGTACGGTAAGACTTATATCGTTCATGGTTAATGTTTTCAGTGTTTCTTATATAACTTTATAAAAAACTTAAAATAACAGGACTCTTAATATTCAAAATACGAAATGTGATGTAAAAGGCTAATAAGAGTCAATAAACTATAAAAAGTCTACATTGTTCGTTTAACAAAAGTTTAATGAAATATTAAAAAAACAGAAGAAAATTAAACATCGCAAGACTATAAATTAATTACATGTTTCAGCCTTATATTTAGGCCCTCTTCAGATGTACATAAATTCGGAACGCAGTAAAAAATTGATATACAAAAATTGAGGAAGCGACGGATTCGTTACATAGTTAGATGAGTGTTAAGTTAGAGAGAAACGGAAAAATTGTTCGTCAAGCGATTGGATGACCGGTTGTGAAAAAAATTTTTCCGTTCTAGTGAGAACTAGTAAAAAAAACGTTATAAATTGTCAAGACTAAATTAAAACAAGCATAATGCGTCTCTCTGGTAAAAAACTTACCTCAGATTCCAATAATTGAGAAAATACACGTCCAAGTCAAAATAATAGTTCATAATTTGATGTCAAAGTAAAAAATTATTTTGTATCACAAATATATATATATATATATATAGATATAGATATAACGTCCGATGTATAAGATGAAGAACCGTCTAACTCTCTGGACGGACACAATTGTACTGCGAGAAATCTTGGTAATGCAAAGTCAAACATTGTTTATGATCGGAATATACGATTTATGAAGACCTTCTGTGTTGCTGGAGGTTAAGACTGTTTCTCTGTTTTTTTTTTTATATTAATCCTCGAACGACACAATGGGTCTTTCGTGTTCATGCTATTTCTAATAGTTCTTATTTATCATATACCTGTGAATATGACCCTATCCCCCCCCCCCCCCCCCTCATAGGAAAAATCTTTATGATGAGGGGAATATAGGGAAACAACTGCGACAAGGAATCTCTTATGTGTTGTTAAGCAGTACGGTCGCAAAGTTGCATGAGGAACCGAAAGATCCATGTTTATAGTTGGAAGGTGCTTTTTTTACAAGTAATTCAGTTATTTTGCTATTTTTGTATTGAGTAGGCTTATTTTATCGTGTCCATATTTTTTTGCTGTATTCACTGCGGGAAGCCGATATGCGAAGTCCACAGATCACCGATATGCAGCAAATGCATACCATAAAAAAATTTAATATTCTGTAATCACTTTTTAAATATTTCTGTTTGCATTAAAAATAATCATTTTTGTACTTTAATAAAATCAAAAACTGTTTTTTCTTTAAAAATACTCTATTTGTCCACGTTAAAAATATGACATATTCAGATGCTCAAATAATTGCACTTTTTTGTATCTGGCTCGTGTAATATTTTTTTTGTAAATTATGGTATCTGTACAAAAACATCCTACAAAGATTTTTTTGGTACATATATAGCAAAGTTACAATTTTTATATTAAAACTGAATTATTTTCTTTTTTTCTGGTGCAGAAAGTAATTTTCATAATTCTTCTAAACATTTTTTCCAATGTTTGCATAGCAGAATAATTTAGAAGAGACCTTAAAGAATATGCGTGAATTTTTACAGAATTTTTCGAGCACTTTAAGAGCCTTAAAATCGAATCGGACACGAATAATCCATGTGTCGTCCAAAGGTACCGAAAATAAGTGTGTCGTTCGAGGGTTAAGCATCTCTGAGACAAGACTTTTGTTGTAAACTGGTTCTTCATCCAAAATTTGAATGTTGTTCTAATCAAATTCGTGGCCCAATTGCACTCAGTGGTCTGTTATTACCGATTTAGAGCTAGTATTTCATCGTATATGATTTCAATGTTCTGAAATCCGTGTCTTCAACCTCCTTCCCGTTTTTCCCACGTAAGATGCATCACAGTCATTACAATTAACCTTATAAACAACATTAGACTTCGAGAAAGGATCTTTATGTACTTTGATATATTTCTGTAATTTGTTTGAATTATAATATAAGACCTTGATATTGTTTCTATTAAATTGTTTCAATTTTTCTGTTACAATCGATACAAAAGGAACGATAAACCAAGATGGACCAACTGCTTCCTCTTTATTCTCTAAGTTGTTAGTTCGAGAAAACTTTTTACGAGTGATATCTTCGATAGTTCTGTCTACTAAACTGAAAATTATGCCTTTCTTTGGGAACGTCGGATGGTTTAAAAAAAAATTTTTTAATCTGCCTGAAAAAGTATATTGTACTAGAAGACATTATATACGCTTATATAATAGCAATGAGATTGAGGTTTTAGTAGTGGGATGTAAGCAATTGAAAGTCGCACTTTTTATACGTGTCGCTTACACGAAGTTAATGAAAATGTCGCGTTTATTTTTGTAGGTATGTTAGTGCCTAAACTAGCAGTGATACGTTAATAAAAATCGAATATGCGACGAAAGAACATGATAAGGATATTGTGAAAAAAATATAACTTTTATCATTTAATTTTTTTTTACCAAATAGATTTGTGAACAGAATTTAATTTTCATAACTTTAATTGTCATAATGTCAATCCGAAATATGAATCGAAGTGATAGCAATGAGTTGTCGCAACAAATGAATGTCGCAACAAATGAAAAACTTTTGCATAAAAATACGAAGAAACTTTCTCCCCAACCCAAAATATTTAGATATACTATACTATACATATAGAAACATAGATAATGAATGTACAAGATTAGTAAGTAATTATTAACATCTCTTCTTTGTTGAATTATTGTTTTTATGTATTGTGTATATTTGTAGAATATTGTATGTAATAATCTTTTTAGTAATTCGCATTGCAAATAATTTTCGTATTATGAAAACATATTGGACCTAGAATATTGCGTTTTAATACGACCCGGGCACGCCAAGTTTTTTTCTTCACTATAATCGATTTGATAATTTTAGTCAATTTTAGTCAGTCTATCTTATGTGCCTTGCGTAATGAAATACTTGACTAATTACATTTATTTCAGATCTGTTTTTTATTAAGAACAACACCTTTTTTATACATTTAGCGTATATATATTTTTTTTAAAAAGATTTTTTTTAGGGATATATTCAATTTTTTAACCAAAAAATTGTTAATATTAGTCAAATATAATATAAAATGCATCTTGTTAATGTTACATTTAACTTTCTTTTATCTTCCCTTAATAAATATTACTAATACTTAATAACAATTATAGGATATTGAAATAAGGTGAAATCGTGAAGGAACAGATCTATATTTTTTATTTAGCGTTTATAAAAACTTTTAAATAGTAAATGCTTTCAAAAAATGCAAGTGACTTGATCGTAACGCCAATAAGAAGTGAAAACCACTCTATTAATTGTTAACAATGCAAAATACCTGCAAATTCTCGAAGTTTTATATTTTCTGGATAAGTTCATCATAAGTACATATTATGTAAATTTCTAGAATCTGTAGAGAATTGCAATTGAATATCGTGTGAATTTCTTGATCAATAAATGCTTGAATGAAATCTTCCAAAAATTGCAAGTGTATTCTTTGATAGGCACCTTGATGTGCTAAATATATAAAAATTCTGTATATAACGCCATTCAAAATACAGAGTTCTATATACAGTACAAATAAATTATTTCCAAGCCTATTTCCCAAGTCTAATTCTCTATGGTTCTGTTGATTCTTGTTGTTCAAACTTGGGATACTTGGTTTCCACTTCCGTCCAAGTAGTCCTTCCATAGGAAAGATCCCTCACAACGCTGGGCAATTCGTCCAACTGTAATTAAAAATTTGTTATTATTCTAATATAATAAAAAATCTTTTTTTTTATGTCTGTTAATGATAAAAGAATTATTAAATTTTGCTTCTAGACCAATTAAAATTTATACACATACAATATAAGTATCATACAAATTATTCTGCAAATAAACTGGAAAAATATACGTACATTTATCCTGACTTGTCCCATGCTGTCTCTGTCTCTAAGAGTTGCACTGTGCGGCATCTTCAAAGTGTCAAAGTCAATGGTAATACCGAATGGTATCGCTATTTCGTCGGTACGAGCATATCTGCGTCCTATGCTACCAGAAGAGTCGTCCACTTTGTGCGAAATGTCTGCCTTTGTAAGATCTTGCGCTGTAAGACATTAATATACATGTGTAT